AGCTAATGTCCCACCTCAGTCATAAAATGAAATATAAAGGACCCCTAGTGAGAAGTCAAATGGTTGTGGGTCTCATATATATATATATATATATATATATATATATATATATCTTGCATTTTTATTCAGTTGTGGGCTCCATATATTTTATAACCAGCGGAAACATTATCATTGGTTCCACAGCCCCCTAAACAGCTATCACATTCAGCTAATCCTATCATGTTTGTCGTATTTATCATGCACTTTCATTCTGTTCATAACATGTGTGGTCTCATATACATGTTTAATGGGACACTTGTCACAGATTGAATGGAAGTGTATGACAAATGCGTTCGCAAACAAATGTAGTAAATGTGGAAGACCCACACCCAAGAAAGTGACCATAAATTGGAAATAAAACATAAGCCCTTATCTAGTCACTAAATGCAATTCTATGCTTCCCCTTATTAAATGGTAATTAAAACCTAATTTTTGATGCATCAATTGATCTTTTCTACACATCAAGATGATTTTGTTTTCCAGGTTTAGGTAGTGGTTTTTTATATTAAAATATTGAAATAATTAGGAAGACCGTCGGTTACAAAAAGTTATTTGTTACAAGTTACAGGTACTAGAAGATCTAGCAAAAAAACTGAAAATGACTTGAGTGAAAGTAATAAAAAATTATCTAAGTATTCATAATTTAACATTGAATATGGCACTAAAACAGAATGGAATGGTAAAACAGGATTCATGTAACTAACCCCTTATGATTGGGACAAGACTCGAATGATGATGATGAATATTGAAGTGATTAGAAATTTAGAACATAGAAAGTTCTACATCGATATATTGATCCCAGACTTGTTCTTCATGTGAGTAACCCAATCAAGTGCTACATTTTATATTTCTATAGTTTATTTTGCTTTAAAATATCATTATCAAAATATAAAATATATAAAATAGTAGCTAGGATGCAATCATGAGTATTCTCCAAATTTTTACATTATATATATCGATACCAAATTAGGGGTCTAGGATGCAGTGATTTGGGCACATCCCTTCACTTCTTTTTTAAGTCTTAAAAGCGAAATTCATTCCTAAATTAATTGCTCAGATTATAACCCATGAAGCACAAATAACAAGAAAATCCGGAAAAAAAAAAAAACACAATACCAACAATCAAACCAATCTTATTGAGATGAGAAAGAAGAAATAACCATAGAACATGGAGTAAATAAATCAAGAAAAGATAGATCCTCTGCAAATGTGCAATAATCTCTACATGAATCCTATTTCATCATTCTGTTCTTTTTCGTATCCATTGTTAAATTATGAGTGATTAAATAAAATTGAGATGTACCCTACAAACGAGAGTATATGATTATTATTACAAAATCCATTCTAAGGTATAAAAACATTTATAGAGAAGCAAGGGCAGGCCCAATGCAGATTTCTGATTTCCACTATAGAGTTATAAACATTCAAAATCTCAAAAACCTCCATTCTATACATCAATACCTGCCCCAGTGAACTAATATCAATTCCGAGCTGGCACCCACCCTAACTGTACTTTGGACCTAAAAATTCTGACCCCCGGCTGAATTGTCATTCTCCCAAACATTTATACATGAAAAGAAAACCATAGTACTGATACAGCAAAGGGACTACAGTTTGTAAATAACTAAATATTGTACACCCCATGTATGCCAAACTGTACTTCTGTTTTGTGGTGTACAAAAATTATAGCCTTATAACTCTTTTGGGGTACCAGATCCGAGAAACATGTATTTGTGCGATATGATTGCTCATTGGAAAACGAAGGAAGAGGCAATATAGTACCAATTTTTGTCAATGAAACCAAAAGTGTATCTTATTTTGCACAATAACAACATATTTTTTAAAAATGAAAAATATATTAATTAGGTTCAATTTGGAAGGAGTACAAATACAAAAATGTAGAGTGCAAAAGCTTGTGTTTCTTATTATTTTGTATACATTTGCATTTAAACCCCTTCCAAACTGAGCCTTAAAGGCAAAATTTACGGTGCATTCTATGGAAATTATTGTCACATAACTCAAACGTAAAAGAGTCGGTGATAAATCGACATGTAACAGTGGCATCTTTGACATTGTTAAATCCTTAATGATAAATACACCATGTAAAATATGAATCAATGAAAAGTAAATAGATCGTAATGCACATTGGTTGAAATTCTAATGTACGTGCTGTACAACTTTCGAAATGCTCTGTAATTGGACTCAGTAATTATAATACCAATTGGTGTTATTTTTATCTTTTCTTTTCTTTCCATACTTCTGAAATGCAAGATGAAAGAAAGAGGAAAAGAGAATTAGTGTTTTAGAGATGTTTTAACATGATAATTTTAATTAGTTTAGAGATTTGGTAGAATCAATTTTAATCAAGTGAAACGAGGTTAGTTTTTCAAAATGAAACCAAATATAATTATTTGAATAAAATAATAAAATACCAAAATTTTAGGAAAAAAAAATCAATATTTTGTGGCCAATATAACCACAATTCCAATTTGAAATTAAAAGCCATGCTCCATAAATTATTCTCAGAAGTTGTAATTCTTCCCGATAAACATAACTGTAAGGAAAGTGAAAATGAAAATTTTTGGTGGGAAAGAGATCCTGATAGACAATCCCCATTAATTCTACCCTAATTTCCCTATGAATTATGGATCCATTTTCCCCATATAGACAATTGTAACTTGTCAACCAAATCCACCATTCAATTGGCATATCTTGGAAAATAGGGACCACCTGATGGGTCGACTAATGGGCCTACCTAATAAGAAAACCCCTTTGGGCAGAACCATCCTTTTTATAGAATTCCTTTCTGAGACAGTTGAGATCATCAATCAAAAAGCAAGCAAACGACAGTTGGGATCAATCAAGTGGGCTTTTTCTATAGGGAATATCCGACATGGGCCCACTGGTTCACGGCCCATCTTGTAAAGAATGATACCTGCAGCTTTTTTATATTCTTCTAGTTTTGAGTTGAGGAATAGAAAAAACAATAAAGTAATGTAGAATCCTATGTTGAGCAAAATAGCAAACTGCAGCCATGAGTTGTTGCAATCCAAACAAAAACTGGAAAAAGAAAACTGTCCAAAATTCCATCTATCTTCGTGCCTCATCTTGGGATACTTGTTCTGATTTTCTGTTCATCTCAAAAGGGTTGCAACTTGAAAAAGAAATGCCCAAATTCATTCTTCTTCACATACATACATTACATACTGTGCATGCACATGACCCATAACACAAGCCCAAATCTTGACACCCTTTGGTTGTTACACTACTAGATGTCTCATTGGAATCAGCCAAAAACCACACAGACCCATTTGTCACAGGCTCGTGTGATAACACCTTAGGGGTGCAGGTTGGACCCGGTTCGACCGGATTGCCATCAACCTTAACCCAACCTGATTACTTCAGGTTGGGTTTTGGTTGGTTTGATTTCTCCAGTTTTTTGCTAAAATGTTCTTATTTCTTAGACTAAAGTTAACTTACTTCAGTATTATAGTATAATATGTACAAGGACAAAGTTATGATACATTAAGAGCCAAGGTTCAAAATATCAATACACCCGATATGCCGGTAGGAGCATATCGGGTGAATCGATATTTTTTTTTATTTTTTTCAAAACTGATTCAGGGGTAGAGCTCCTCCACCCCCTGAACTGGTCAGACCCCTGATACATCCATTGTAGGGGCGTATCGGAAAGGTCCCGGAACAATACATATCGACCGGTATCAGCCGATACGTGTTGATACTTTAGAGCAATATATATATATACATATGGTATTTATTTACTTAAAAGGCCTCAACCCTAATGCAATATATAATTAAGTCAGGTTCGCATTTTTCAATCCTAACTCTAACCCGAACTTCAATGCAAAACCCAAATCGACCTTTATCGGTTGGATTGGACTGACTCGGTTGCACCCCTAAACTTCTGCTGCTAACCTCATACCTAACCCAATTACAAAAGCTAATAATGCTTTTTTTTGTCCTTCTCGTGGTAATCACATGATGATCTGGTCGTGTACAAGTGAGTGATCTGACATCACATGGAGCTGGCACAGATGGCCGTCTCTGATTGGGTTAGATCCAAGGTTAGCAGTCAACCCGGACCTGAGCTGGATTTGTCTCTAATTGGCACTAGAGAAAAACAAATTGGATATCCTGTGATCTTTGATTCAATCACGGGTTAGATTTGTTGCTTAGTGGGGAAAAGGAGTGAATTTAACACAAAACTGAACATGGGTGTCTTAGATCTGTGTTGTGGACTGTTGCCATGGATGGCAATTTTTCTCATGAAACTGGGACCCATTCCATCCAGGGTGGGTTTTCCTGGATGGGGCGGGGATAGGAAAAATATCACCCAAATCGGGGATTGGGTAATGGGATTTACATATAATTTTCTAAATTCGTCTCAAACCTAGTGGTAAATTATTAAAATATCTCTAAATTTAATAAATTTCTAAAATATCCTTGAATTTTTTCCAAAATCTTAAAATCCTAAGATCCCATATTCTCATTTCTAAAATAATCCTGAAATTTGGCATATTTTTAAGTGATTGTCTTAGAGTTGGAAAAATTCGAGAATTTTTCATCCCCAACAGGAAGGGAGTGCCTCACCTCGAACCCACCGCACTACCAGGGACAAGGCGAGAACAGGGTAGAGGATTTTGACCACAGGGCAGGGACGGTGAGGGGTGCCCGGCCCCAAACCCGCCCCGTTGTTATGGTAGCCATCACGGTCCAAGGACCATTAAGTGGGTCATGGAGATGGGTTTTGGGTACAGCCCATTAAGAGAAGTGGGCCAACCCATATAATTTTTGGTGGGCCAACCCATTTAATACAATCTGTTTGATTCACAGGTAAACCACGTTCTTGTCCTTAGCATACAGGAAAACAAAAAAAACGCGTTAAAGCCCAACGTTATTAATATTTGAAAATGAGTGACAAGGGAAGGGAGTTCCGAAGACGAAGTGGACGGACATATCATACATCTCCCTGAACCCTCCAAAAGCAAAGCAGACAGAATACAGTTAGGTGGGGTGACTTCCTATTCTGCCCAGTGGTGCGCATTGCACACCCCCCCCCCTCCTTTCAGTTCTGTCACTTTATGTGCCAAGCTGTTCTGTCCCCGACGTTCCATCATCCCCATTGCTTCCCCCACAGCACATTCAAGCTCTCATAAGTCTGAAGAAACTGCCATCCTGACATCAATGGAGAAGCTTGGCGTTTGATGCTTTAAGGGGACTGATTTGAATTCACGGATAGGCCTGCTGCCCGCTCGACTTTCAAGTAGAATGGCAAGTGATGCAGTGGTGGTTGCAGTTGATGCAAGCAAAGAGATAACAGACCATGCTCTTGAATGGGCAGTGCGTAATGTGGTCAAGGCCATGGACTCTCTAGTCCTACTTGCAATTGTTCCTTCACATGGACGTCCTCTGTCTGCTGTGAGCCGGACCCATCACTCTCGTGTTCAGCAGTTCCTAGCTTGTGGGTGTTCATTTGTTCTGTAATTAATTCAGACAGTTGGTGTCTTTTCTTTTTATTTTCTTTCTTTAAATTGAACCCAGTTTGTGTTGATCATGTGGTTGATGATTTGATGGTTGTAGGCCTTCTGAAGAAATGGGGACTTAATTACAATAAAGGTGGTTCTCCAGATCAGATTGGTCTTTACAATGGAGTCCATCATGAAGAGTCTAGCAGAATAAATGAGGTCTGTGTGGAGATGATGAGGCAACTCTGTTCTGCAAACAATGTCTGGCAGGTGAGCACAGTCATTCTCTCATCATGTTATTTACTTGTATGACTTCCTTTAGATGTAACAAGTGTATTGGTACCAGGTGAAAACACAAGTGAAGGTTGTTCCTGATGGGACGGTGGGCTCAGTTGCAAGAGAATGCAAAGAACTGCAAGCAACATGGATCATTCTTGATAGGTGTGTGTATATGATGGATTAGTCCTTACTTACAGCTACCAAAGTGACAACTGAATTATGTCACCAATCACCATTGAGCTCAAAATAGTTAGATTGACTCAGCCAAGTGATGAAGTTTTACATATACAATGGAACAAAGTTGTATCTGTGTTTCAAGCAATAATAATCTTGTTTTTACATTTATAGACATTAGGCATCCATGAAGCACTTCTCATTTGGTTCTTTTGTATATTGTTATATAACAGCCTGACAATTCAGTTCCATCCCTTTTTCTTGGTGCGTAAAAGTTAAAAAGGATGAAGTATTAAGCCAAAAGCAACTCTTTGTCATGAACTAGGAGTAGGAAGCTTGACTGTTGATTTCACCAGTTAATCTTATTTTGGAGTTTAATGAATATGACTACCCAATTTACTGGCTGAACATGACAGGCGATTAAAGAAGCAAGGTGACTGTTGCTTGAAACAACTGGATTGCAATGTTGTAATTATAGACAAGAGCATCCCAAAAGTCCTGAGATCAGTTGATTCTCAATCAGTAAAAAAGATTAATGTGGATCGATTGCAAAGTGGCCGAACAGTAGGTGATATATTGGGCATCTCTCCGACCTGCAGTCTTGATTACAATAATGCAGCAGCTACTCCAAGCAGCCTTGGATTAGATAGTACAAGTCCGGATACAGACATTTCTTGCTCCTCTTACAGTACAGACAGAGACAATTTCCAGGCAACAACTCCTTCCACCAGAAGATTTCGACTTCCTAAATCTTTTTTCTCCCGTAATTCCCAGTTAGACAACCAGGATATCAAGGCTAAAGCCACATATTGTTCCCCTCATAGTAAATCACAGCCACTTAGTAAAGTGTCAAGATTTGAAATTGATGAAACACCTCGTAAGTCTTCAGCCAGCCCCGTGGAGAGAAGCAGAGGTTACAGTGGTTTATTGAAGACAAAGAATGGTAAGTACATCTCTTCTGTGGTAATAACTTTGAAACCAAACATATATAAACCAATGCACTTAATGTTAAACTTCCCACAACAGTACCCACTCCAAACAGAAGATCAGCAGACTCACCACGGTTATGGCAGAATTTGGCTAGCCTAACTCAAGCAAGGCAACTTCTAATTGGTAGAAGGGACTCGAAGGATGGGAATGGAAATGAAACAACTCTATCCCCTTCTTCTCCAATGATGCAAAGAACCTCAAGCATAAGAAGAGCCATGTCTGTATCCATCAAGCAGCCTCCAACCCCTCCACCTCTTTGTTCAGTTTGTAAACACAACTCTCCCATCTTTGGCAAGTCCCCAAGGAAATTCAGTTATCAGGAGATTGAAAGAGCAACAAATGGATTCTCCAGTGCAAATTTCTTGGCTAGGGGTGGATATGGTTCCGTATTTAAAGGAATCTTGCCTGATGGGCAGCTTGTTGCCGTGAAACAGCATAAGGTGGTAGGTGCACAGGGAGCATCAGAGTTTTGCTCGGAGGTTGAAGTGTTGAGCTGTGCACAACACAGAAATTTGGTTATGCTGGTTGGCTATTGCATTGAAAAGGAGTGGCTTCTTGTCTATGAATTTGCTTGTAATGGTTCCTTGGACAATCACTTGTATGGTAAGCTAACAATGCCACTGTTATATTCATTACTACTACTTTATGAAGCAACAGTAGTTCAACTCAACTAGTACATTATTAATAGGTGACACTGATGTTCTTCATAATGTTAAAATTAAACTAATCTCAAGATTGAGAAGGATAATGATGACTATTACAGGGTTCAATACAAAGAAACTAATGACATGGAACAGTAGAATGAAAGTTGCCATTGGAGCTGCAAGAGGTTTGAGATATTTACACGAAGATTGTCGCATCGGTTGCATTGTTCACAGAGACTTGCGACCCAGCAACATCCTCCTCACCCATGATTTTGAACCAATGGTTGGATCAACTATGCTGCTTTATATCTATATTCTCTTCACATGTCTATATAGTTCTTTCTGAACATTTCGACTCTCTAACTGTTTGATTGATCTAGTGTAAATTGTGTCTCCAATACATTTAGGTAGGAGATTTTGGTCTAGCAAGGTGGCAGGCAGATGATCAGTCAGCTGAGGAGACACAAGTCATCGGTGCGTTTGGGTAAAAATATACCTCTTTATTCTTGCAAAAACTCCTTCACTGTGTTATAACAAATGTACTTCTAGAGGAGAGGAATGGTTGTTATATATATTCACTAATAATTATTCAAACTAGGGTAATTTTTGCATCAGTTCTTGATCAATTTTTTATGGTGGTATGTTTATATGAAGCTATTTCTTGCTAGAATTTTCTCAAAAAAATCATTTGTCATGATACAATACTGTAAATTTCTAGTTATTAGCAGTCGGATGAGTTTTGTTATCAATGTAATTCCTTAAATTGCTGTCTTCAGAAAGTTGATCTAGATTTGTATTTTGTAATGGAATCAATACAACATCTATCATAATGAGCTACTACTTCTCAAGAAMAAAATGGAGGGAGATCTCAAAATTTATTGATATAGTTAATTTAGTCAGTGATTTCATTAATTAGTTCTCCTTCTTCCTTTTTCAAGTGTCAGTACATATGAATTTCACTTTCCTTTTCATGAAACTTGTAGAATTCCATATTTCAGTTACAACCATTCATATTACCACCACAAGTTGCAGCACCATGGTTTTCATCAATGACATTGGGGTTGGAGAAACTGGTTTAACCAACTAATTTGATTCTGGACCAAAAAAAAACTCAGTTACAATCAGCAAATCACTAAGCTACCCTGATCAGTTTCTCTGTTTCAATCTGTCTCTTCCTCCTTGATCCCATAATCAAGTCTAAATAAATCACTAAAGAACATTAAACATTGTTTATTGATAAAAAAACACTAAACAATGTTTCACAAACATGAATTCCAAATATACATGTGAAATGTGGTTGGATGCAATTATCTACTTTGATGCACATGGTTTAAACACTAAAGGTATTTTGTAGGTACTTAGCCCCAGAGTACATGCAGACTGGGTTAATCACAGAGAAAGCTGATGTGTACGCATTTGGAGTTGTGTTACTGGAACTCTTAAGTGGCCTAAAGGCAACTGATTTGATGAGAAGTGAAGAAGAGCATTATCTTTCTGAATGGGTGAGTTTCTCTTTAATCCCCCCCAAACCCCAGGTAACAATATTGATTAACATGCAAAAGGAAAGACAAACAAGAAAGACCAGGACAAAAGTCATCCAACTGAATATCTCTGAGACACAATCCCTCCCAACAGTTATCAATCAAAAATATAAAATCTGGATCCAATGCTATGGAAGTAAGCTGAATGTAATATTCTCTGTTCGAATTTATTATTAAATTAATATGATCAAACTAATCTTATTTCAATTTCAAATAGTCATTGCCCACACAATCTTTCTTTTGGAAGAATTCTTCCTACATGTCTCCTATTCCAGTTTCTAATGTGAGCAAAACTATACCCATTTTCTGTAAATGAAGATTGCATCATTGCTCAAATACCATATGATCCCTTCCTAATATGTCCATAACTATGCTTGCAATTTGCAATTTAAGACCATTGAAAGCATTGGTCCAACTTCATCTAATATGAATGCATTGCAGGGTCATTCATTGCTTGAGAAAAAGATGATCAGTGAATTAGTTGATCCTCGCTTGGAGGGAAATTACATAGAGAAGGAGGTTGAGTGCATGATGCATGCTGCCAGTTTTTGTCTCTCACCCCATCCTGAAAGAAGGCCCCGGATGTCGAAGGTTGCAGAGTTGCAGCAATTCCTTTTCCTACATAGATTACATTGATTCCTTCATTTTGCTGTTTTTTCTCTTCTTATATAAAACACCTGTGTGCAGGTATTGAGAATATTGGAAGGAGAAATGCCTACTGACATGGCATGTCAATATGGAGAATTGACCTCTACTCCCCAGTACAGAAGGAAGAACAGTTATAATGCAGATGGACCATTGAACCAAAATCATTGGACTCAAGACTTTAGTGCTTCTTCACATATAATTCAACACATGCAACATATGAAGCTTCCTTCATCTACTGACAATGCACAAAGAAGCAAAGACCATAAAAGAAAGATCAAGCAAACATTTTTGGACAAGAACACAATGGAAAGACTGAGCAGTCACTGGAGCTTGGACCAAACTGATAAATTAGAATTGAATAATATCAGACACATCTGCACGAGTCACTACTAGTCGAGTTATTCATGGGGCAAATGTAAAGTAAAACTCCTACTCCCTGTATTCCAACAGAACCACCATTGATGCATCTAAAGCAAGATCAGAAACCAGTGACAGCAAGTTGACTTCCGCAGGTACTTAAAACTTGACTGAGTTAGTTGACCTGATGAGAAAAACGAGGTTCAGATTTTCACAGCCTGTCACCAAGTCATTAAAGAGATCTTTCAGAAACTAGTCATCCCAGTTCTGAATGGACCAAACTCTGGAGTCAGAAAAACTGACAGGTTAATGAAATGCAGTGGACTACAAATTACATGGATTTCTTGTCGCAAAACTGCAAGTATCTCCCTGCATTTTGCTACAAGATTTGATGACGTAACTGTTAGACAGTTTTGTATGCCCTTAGCTTCAATCAGAATGATGTACTTTATGAGTTTATTGTAAATGAATAAAGATACATATTTGATTCAT